GTCGGATCCGCTTTAGTCCTCTAAGGCCATTTTATTTGGTTCTGTTCATTTTATTGTTGTTGTTATCTGGACCGGGGGTTCGGGTGGAAGATCCCGGAGGTGATGAGTCATCCCGAACCGCGTCGGCGCGTCGCTGTCCGTGGTGCTGAATTTGAATGAATTCGATCTCTGGTTTTTCACCACCTCCTGAGCTATCTGGAGCATAAAGAACAGTCAAAAATCCTGATTTTTGAAACAAGCTGCGTCTTTTGGATCTCCTACCCTCACTCGTCAACAAGACCCCGAGATACTTAAACTCCTCCACTTGAGGTAGGACCTCTCTCCCGACCCGGAGTTGGCAAGCCACCCTTTTCCGGTCGAGTATTAATGATTATTAATAATGCACTAAGTAACATTACTAAAGGGACCCTTTGTGTATTAATGAATATTAATAATGCACTAAGTAGCATTAATAAAGGGAGCCTCTGTTTATTAATGCTTAATAATGCACTAAGTAACAATAATAAAGGAACACTAATTGTAAAGTGTTATCCTATATTTAATGTAGTAATTATTTTAAATTAAAACTAAAATCCCAGGCAGTTATGTCAGTGTGTAACAGCGTCACATTGTTTTATGTGCACACTGCAGGGCACAATGCAAGGCTATGTATATATATATATATATATATATATATATATATATATATATATATATATATATATATTATATATATATATATATATATATATATATATATATATATATATATATATATATATATATATATATATATATATATATATATATATATATATATATATATATACCACTTAATGAGGTCTTAGGCGTAAATTAAAAACTGGAGACCCACACTGTATAGAAGATTTCTCAACGTGATAAATAAATCTGCAGGAACCTGCTGCCACCCCCAGGGATAGACCCAATGTCTGTAGTAAACCCACTCACAACCCTATGCCAACTACAGGAGCAGTGCATGCTGGGAAGACTTGGCACAGCATGAATAATCCAAGCTAGCTGTGGTGCTCCTGTGTATTTTGGTGTGGAAGCGGTGTGCATTGTGTAGGTTTTCAGTCCTATTTTCAGCAAACACAATTACATAATTCATCAATTTCGCAACGCTTTCTGGCAATGAAATCAACCCCATTTTTAGTATGTGAAGAGAATTTTATTATGCAGGCAGGCAGACACCTCAGCCCTGCATGCTGCATGAGCATACCTAATACTTGGCTTTCAAATGCCTAAACAAAAACAAAAACAGGTTTAGAAAGCATGCCTTTCACCTCCTCTATCAGTATGGGGGCAGAGACGGCCTACAATAGAAACACAGAACTTAGCACATCGTTATTGAGTGTGATAAATATTTTAGCGCACCATATTCAGCCAGGGCCAACGACAGATCATTTTTACTCCTCATCTTGGATTTTGATTGGCTGTAATGTGCCTCTGAATCCCAAAGTCTTGTCCTCCCGTTCCGAGTCAGCGTCATTCAGATCAGATAGAATCGTTCACATTATCATTAATGGCAATCTCCCAGAGTGGGAATGCATTCCCATAAGTCCCTTGCCATGGCTGTCACTATGACAAACTTGACTGAGTTAAGAAGATCTCGTGAATGTTAGACACAGAGTTTCAATAAGGGGTTGGGTGATTGCCCTTGATATTCTCTCTTGCGGATGTTGCTTTAAGCTTCAGAAAAGGATCAGTACAAATGGTATCATTCCTCTTCCTCCCCACTACAATGTCCTCCACATCTCCTTGAAGTAAATCTAGATGGCTTGGAGTGGTCATATTTTCCTCAACAATAAATTGAAGTGGACGGTTTGAGAGATGGTCCGGCTTGAATCTAAGACTTTGTGAAAGCTTTTCACTCCAGGCATTTCTATGAAGGATGTGGAGTGGCCCTTTTTTGCATCGAGACATTCTGCATCATTTGCATAGTCGCTGTAGCTCTTTGTAAAACCAATAAGTTGCCGGCATGGCTGTGAATCGTTAATTGGGTGAGAGCCTCCTGCTGTCTCAGCTGGACATTTGCAAACGCCGGATAATGAAACATGTCCACCTTCCTTAAATAGGTCGTCAAACTGCAGAAACAAACGCTGGTCAACAACTTTGGCTCCATGTGACTCTATGTGGTCCAACTTTGGCTCCATGTGACTCGCTAAGAATAAGCAGAAACCTTAGCACATTAACAGTCACCATGAAGTCAGTCAGCCATCAAAGATGGAGTATTAATAGATCAGAAGTGTCTGCTGCAGCAACAACAGCACAAAGTCTGGAAGGGCCACTTTAATGCTCCGTGGCTGTTTTACATACTAACAACTAGAAACCAGGGAGACACAACATCAAACTGAAAATGCCATTCTGTTTCCTCACCCACGTATGACTGAAAGTTTTAGGATAGATCATATCGAGAAATTTTAACACCTTTTAGCCCTTTTTACACACCATGCCGGCAAATTGGGATAATATTACTGCAACGGTGTGTCTCATAAACGCGCCATGCCATCATGGTGTGCGTAAATTTTGCGCCATTCGATCTGCCTCACTTCGTAGTTATATCGCGGTAATTGTCTGTTTCATAAACGGCAATTACGTCTTGGTGCAACAGAGGGAGGTGTCACAAACATGGGGAGTTACTGCCAAGCTCCGGCCGGCAACTATATTGAAAATGAAAGTAAACACGGGCCGTCTGTTTTGCTAAAATCATCTGAGATGGCCAACTGGAGCTCTACAGGAGCGTCTCTCCGTTAGAGCCTAATGAGTGCTGCTTCGATCGCAATAAAAAGCAAGTTATGTCCAAGATAATCAGAAGTCCGCGGCAGAGCAGCCGTTATGTCGCCATCGCCTAATCTTTTGTAAAAAAGACATAATTGCTCCATATTACTGCCACAGTCTGACCACTTATAAAGGACCTTGGCTCCCTGATGCCCCAGGGCGTTGCAGCAAATTGACGGCATTGTTTTGTAAAAACGGTGATAGTCTCCCCCTTGGAAGAAGCTGAAAGCCACCTCATACCATGCATCCGCACACAGATTGTAGCGCTAACTGAGGGCTGTTGGGATTGCATGTTTTAGACATGTTCCTGCTCAGACACACCCAATTCTAGCTACTAAATTATCTCAGTCTTCATTGGCTTCTGCAGGAGCTGCTGATCACTCGTATTATTCAAATTTGCACTGTTCAACCATGGAAACACCTAAAATCACCCGGAAACCGGCAATTGCAAAGTTAGCACACCCCTGCTAATGCTACAAGCTAAAACAATAGTCCAACACTGTGTAAGGTCAAATGCTAATCATAAAGCTCCAAAACATAAACGATAAATCTCTTTTCGTTCCCCTCCCTCTTCTTCCACAGTTAGCTTGAAGTTTACTAACTGAAATTAATTCTTTGCAGGTCAAGTAAGACCCAATCCCAATACTCGCACTGTCACCCTTGTCCCGTCAATTGCACACTGGTACTGCCACCCCCAACCCCACCCCCACCCCCTGTCTCGGGGAGACTGAGAGCTGGATGATCCAACAGTTGTTTTAGGTCTGAACCACGTAATGAGTTTTTTTGTGTGTTTTTTTTCCATCTCCACAATATATTTATTTATGCTGTACAATGCTAGGATGTTGCTACGAGGTAAGAAAAAATGTTTTAAAGTAGCTTGTTTTTCAGATTTGCTATTGCAGCTTTAACTGTAAAGATTTAATTGATCCTTTGAGGAAAACTGTTTTCTGTGTTATTATAAAATGTTTTGTAGACTTCTTGAAAAATAAAAAGAAGAAATTATTTTGTGCACATGTCTTCACTCTGCTGCGTCATCTTGACTTTAGCTTAATCTAAAAAAGCACATTTGCCTGACCTACTTATGGGCATTCAACAAGCTCAACCCGCTGTGAATTTAAATTTTACTTTAGTTTTTTTTGCTGCAGCAGAGCAATTTCTTTTTTCATTCTGTTTTATGACTTTACTCTGTAGGACAAATAGAGAGACTGAGGAAGATGAAGATCACACCAGTTTAATTGACAGGAAAGTCAATTAGGTTGGTCACAGAAGGAGACCACACTCCCTCTCGGTGAGCACTGCATATCAGCTGTGATCTGAATAACAACATTCATGCTGCTGGGCCACCATCATTTTACATCTACCCTACTTTTGTCAGAGCGTCATAAAAAACAAATCCTCTAAACTACGCGTATAATCTATTCATTTTTCTTATACGACTCCACAAAGATTCATGTTTACTTCACACAGACTTAAAGAGAATCTTTAATGTATTATTATTGCATCAGATGCTCTATCAGACATACTGACACAGAAGCAGAAGTGACAGAGAAATAAATAAATGTATTATATATCAGTGGAATGGGTCACAGACATTGTTTCTATTCCAGATCAAGCTTGTGGTAACTTTAGAGTCGCCCACTGGGACCTGACCATGTGTGCTGCCTGTCACACTGTGAGTGTGTGTGTGACCCTTTGACCATGAATCCCATTCATTAATTGTCATACAGCATGCCTTCTCTCTCTCTCTCTCCTCTCTCTCTCTCTCTCCTCTCTCTCTCTCTCTCTCTCTCTCTCTCTCTCTCTCTCTCTCTCTCTCTCTCTCTCTCTCTCACTCTCTCTCTCTCTCTCCTCTCTCTCTCTCTCTCTCTCTCTCTCTCTCTCTCTCTCTCTCTCTCTCTCTCTCTCTCTCTCTCTCTCTCTCTCCTCTCTCTCTCTCTCTCTCTCTCTCTCTCTCTCTCTCTCTCTCTCTCTCTCCTCTCTCTCTCTCTCTCCTCTCTCTCTCTCTCTCTCTCTCTCTCTCTCTCTCTCTCTCTCTCTCTCTCTCTCTCTCTCTCTCTCTCTCTCGCTCTCTCCCCCTCCCTCTCTCTCAGGCCTTCTGCCACAGAGGGCCATCCACAAAAACAACAGCCACTCAGCTGCTGTTTCTGCAGGCCATGACCTCTCAGTCAAAGCAAGCACGAGAACGGGCCACACAACTGGTTAAGTTGTCTCTGTTTACTCACCCTTTTGCCCTCTTTGCCTGGCTGACCCGGCGCTCCAGCTGATCCCTGGGGAAAGGACATGTGTTGTAGGGAATTAGGTGCTGTGTTTAAAGATGGATAAAAAAGACTAGCTTTTTTTTCTTGTGAAGTCTGACAGCGGATGTTGTTGCAACGAGTTTCTCAGCAGAGCAGAGGATATAGAGCTTATTAGGAGACACACAATTAGCTTAGTTAGAATTGAACGTATATACAAATATGGAAGAGGGTGCAGTTTTGAGCTTCTAGGTGTCTTCTCCAATATCCCCTTAATAGGCAATTTGCAGCCTGAGTTCATCAGGACTTCATTCCATTACTCTACAAAGTATCTTGATAAGAAACTATTAGGAAGTTAATGAAAGTATACATTGAGTTGGTACTCCTTTGCAAGGGTATGCTTTTGGTGCTTCAGCAGATCCGTGTTGAACCTAATAGTTGTGCTGTGTTTAGAGAGAAAAAGTCTCTTAAACTTTGTTCACAAAAAAACCAAAAACAACATTTCTAAATGTTGAATTTACCTAAGTTATGTCAACTGGTCCCACTAAACCTAGTAGCTTCAATGTAAAAGGTAATATACATTGTCATAAATGAATATTATTTTTCACATTTAAATAAACTGGCTAAAGGTGCAATATGTAAGAATGAAGTAAGACTGACATTCTGTGTTCAAATTTGGTAACTGAAGCCCATTTTTTACAAACAAAAAAATCCCTTTCTTGCTACGCTATTACACACGTGTTTCATGGTTTTTGCCAGTTACGGATCAGTGCCAGAAGGTTCTAGATGACGAGCAGAGGCGAGCCATAAGTTGGTAAGTAGATACATTTTCATATCTGGTGTCAGCACTCTTGGGTGTTTTTCGGCACAGAGCACTTTCTACACTAATTTAGTTATTTATTTTTTTTATTTATGTAACTTATATTTTATGAGGATAGAAACAGCTTGAGATGTGTCATCTCATTTTTGAGCGGGTCCTCAGATCATACAACAAAATAGCAGGTAAGACGGCAGAGTCATTTACATAATCACAACACAATACATAAATCAAACAAAACACACATAACATAAACAAAAGCCCTGCTTACTTATTACGGTAATATTTCTCTGGCAGAGAGAAAGTCTTGCTATTAGCTTGATGTTATATTTATGAACGACTCATTAAACTAAGTAAAGCATTTTGACTCATTATTCACTTCACAAATACATTTCAAATGCCGACAATGAAGTATTAGCTTGGCGCAGACTCGGCAACTAACAGATGTAAACAGCTACGTAATTATTTCGTTATTTTTTTCTTGAAAAGAGAAAAACTGACAATCCTCCAGAAGGCTGAGAATGAAATCCATTCCAATGCAGCTTTCCTTCCAACACAATTGAGACATTAAACTGTTTTGTGATTATCTCGCTGTCGGATTCTTACATATTGCTCCTTTAAGTAAATTCAATGTGACATGTTTCAGCATGTGGATTTCTGTTTACCTTCTCTCCCTTTTCTCCTTGAAGGCCCTGAAAGTGAGAAGAAACAGTGAAATGTAAACGGATAAATCATATACTCAGATAAAAAAGTCATCATGCATTAATCCATAACAGCAAAGAAAACAGCTGATAATGAGGTAGATATCCCTGACCCTGATCTGAAGAGAAACAAGACCGTGATAATCACAACTTTCCAGACACCCTCTTAGCTACTGCTGCCGTCAGAGGGCGGACGGAGTCATCCTTCTTCTCCAAGGCCCGACACCTCGGCTTTCTGCAACTTCCTAAATAATTAGTGACCTTCTTCAATTGGCATTCGACGGTCACTTACTGTACATTTTTGTCAGAAACAGCTGATGAATTAACAATTCTTCTAAGCTGGTTGTTTTATGCCAAGTTAAAAAAAAGAAAGATTGCTGGAAAAACCCAAACAATTTTGCAGAGATCTAACGAGTGAGCAGCTCTGACCCATCACACCCTAAATAAAACACTCCTCAGCTTCACTGCTGTTGCTATGTTAATAAATCATCATCTTCTTCTTTTGTGAGCACAGCTTGACCACGAGTAACAAGCCACACAATGCAAATGCACAAACAGCAAGTCGGCATTTTAATAACTGCTTCAACATTTGCAGCCATGATATGGGAAAGTTTGCCATGACCGTGTTTGCTTGTCAGGGAACGCTTGCTACTTTCCCTGTTACATAAAATTAGCATTAGAGAGCGGCTAATGAATGGTGGCAGAGGTCTGTGGGAATCGTAAGCACTTTGGCGACATAAAAGGGGCAAGCCTGCGGTGGCGGGCTGTGTTTTTTATTTTATTTATTTATTTAACTTTATGTCTCTGCTGTGCTGATTCAAACTGGCAGGCTGATCCCCTCATGATGTGCCCATAATTAACCACCAAACCGCAGCATACCTTTAATTTCTCTGCAGCCTCCACCACAAGAGTGTGTGTGCTTACATCGGTGTCTGCACATTCCTTACACATGTTGATAGGTGACTATTCAGGTGTAACTTGGCATGTCCTGACGGGTTGTTGCATGCATGCTACGAGTCGTTTCACAGTATGTTCTGTGTCTGTTGGATTTTCCATGACAGGGGGAAGCCCTAACACAGCAAGTCCAATTAAGACGCCTGGAAAATCAGATCCCTGCAGAGGCAAGCACCACTGAGTGCATGCCTTACCCATAGGATACGACCAGCGACTACCTGTCACTTTACCATCCTCATCCTGAGGGTTAGGGCGCAACTTTTCTCTGCCTGGCTGCTCATCTTTATCCTTTTTGGCTGAGGCCTCTCCATCTGCTCCGTGTTTGACCCCCTTCCCAGGCGATGGTAATGCGACACGGAGATTGCTCACCTGAGTGCCTCGCTTCCCCATCACTACGGGACAGATGTTTTACCTCTATGTGCAAACAAAAAAGGACCGCTACAGCCTAGCTGTGTCAGGTCGTACCTTCATATGTACACTCCAGGATCTGAACTACTTCCACACTGTAAACGGGGAGCATAATGAGACGTAAATGAAACAGCGTGAACTCACAGGCAGCTCTGGGATTCCGGGGACGTCACCCTGTGAAGAAGGATAATAACGTGAGTTCAGAGCACCTTTATCATACACAACTACACAGTAGCTATCAGAGAGTTAAACATCTAACCTGTGGGGCCATTCGTCATGTTTGCGACAAAACCTGAAGGTCAGGCTAAACGAGACTGACTGTGCATCAGAGTAATTTCTCAACGCATGCACCAGGTCTGTGGAGGACCATTAACTGGTATTTACAGCACGTCATGAAAAGAAGCGCGTCTGATGACTCTCACGCCGTCAGAAAACTGGCAGGTGGCTTGGAGCTACTAAACATGATGGGCCTTAAAATAAACACAGCCCCACTACATCAGGAGAAGCCTTGGCGGGATTAGCATCGGACAGGTATGATGACATTGTTTGGTGTCTGAGGCTGGCTGTCACAAAAAGTCACGGAACGACGACAGAAGACGTTTTGTAGAAGCAGCGATTTTTGTCTTATGACAAAACTTGTTTATTGTTTTAATGGAAGCTATCCCCCCCCCCTTTCACCGCATCACAAACAGGAGTTTCTGAGAGTTAATAGATTTTACAACCGGCGATCTCCTTTCTCTGATGCGGCCGCCACTTGTAGTTCACATCCACGTTCTTGACTAAATGAGTATAACAGCTAAAACCCACCTGCTACGGGACATTCATGAGATTTATTACTTTATGCTTCCAAATCTGTCTCCCTCTGCCAGTTTCAGTACAAACGGACGTCCCCTCCTCTTACCACACACCACCACCACCACCACCTTCCATCTGGAAAATGGGATAAAATAGCCTGCAATTCTCTGTTGTCTTCACAGAAACACGCAGACCTCATTATAACTTCAAGGCTGGCAGACGGTGCATTGCACCTACAATTATGTGGTGAGTTCTACGAAAAGACAACACAAAAAAACAAAAAAAAAGTCACAATGAGGAAAGAAGAATAAAAAGCAAGATATGTAGCTGCTAATTACAGGAAAAGCATTCCTCTTCATACCTGGAACATAATCCCAGAGTGGGATGAAAAGAAAAGAAAATCTAAAAAAAAAAAAAAACATTTTCTATGTCGTTACGAGAGTTAATCAAATTCATGTCATTGATGTGAGCAAACAGACCGTAAAGGTGATGCAGATGTGAGGATGTTTTTGGATCAAACTTCTCTGCTGCCTTTTTATTAACTCCAGGCTTGTTACACAAAAGCTCAGAGCTACAACGCAGGACACACTCATATTCTATAGAATCCTTTTATTTGTGGCTAAAATGAGAACTGTGCGCCTATAGGAAGACATCAGAAGAGAAGCAATTGATTTCATCACGTTAAAAGCCTAAAACAAGCTAAATAAAGAGATGTTTTGAATATTTCCATTATGAAAATATCCCAATACATATAAAAACACCTCAAAGCAGTGACTTACTTATTTTTAAAAGCTTCTCTATCGGAGTTCTGGGACATTTGTGGGAGGTGGTAGGATGGCTAGAAAAATACGATGGCTCAGTCCTGTCTTCCGCTGTGTTTCCATACAAAATCAGCCCTTTCAGGACTTTGCAAAGACGTTGCAAAGTGACATCACTGATAGACTTCAAAAGGTGTCTACGGACATTACTAACATTAAAAGTTACATTCTGGTAAAGTACGCCCTAATTTAATACGTTCAGAAAACAGGAGGAGTGGCTGTATGTCAAAAGCGGCGTTCAGTGACCACAGGAAGCGTCGTTTTTTATGGCACTTTGTAGGAGACTACAAAAAATGATGGCATTGTGTGGGGGGTATTAGCGCCCCATTTTTGATGTTCTGAGTTTAGAAACGCTGATTTTAAAACACCATCAATGCTGCTTTTCCCCCCCTAAAAGGCTAAACAATAGGCCGATCAGTGTTTGCCCTAGGAATTTTTCCAGCTGTGGTGGTGGAGGTGAAATGATGACACGTCTCACCTTTATGTTAAGGTGATGTTTACACTCACTTTGAACTGCACCAATCCAGCAATTGCTGCATTTAAATAACTGGTATTAAAGGTGAGTACAAAAATATTTGCACAAGAATAATTTTTTGTTTTAGACTCTCTGTGACACACTTGGGGGGGGGGGGGGGGGGGGGGGGGGGGCATTACATTTTTCTTGGCATCTGGAAAAACATCTCCAGGGCCTTGTGGTCTGATTACAGAATCATTTTAAATTTTAACAGGGAAAGACTGCAGGAGGGAGCGGTAAAATACAGCGGGTCCCCAGCAAAGACCAGAAACTTTACGAGTCTGCTGAAACCCGCTGATTTTCCATCAGGCAGTCACGGGGCAGCTCCAACTAAAACAATTCATATGTAAATATTTTGCATATTTATTGCAAAATCTCATTGTTTTGCTGCTTTATTGCTGCAACAATGTTTTATGAATAAAAAATTATTATACCTTTTGTTTTACTACAGCATCGGTACTAGGGATGAGCCGGATACTCGTTTCAGACGAGTATCGGGTACGGATAAAGCATTTTTGACAAGTTCAAGCACGAAACGAGTAAAACTCGTAAATAGCTGTAATCGTGCTGAAGAAAAATCCTCATTGGGTAACTGACTGTCTTCACGCTCTGTGATTGGCCAGTCACATAGAGCGCCCGCCCCTCCCTACACACAAACCTCTGCAGCCGGGAGCTCACAGCTCAGTCCGCGTCCGGTCTATCCACGCACACAGACAGTAACGGATCTCTCTGTGCTTGCTTCACTGTTCACGTTTCTTCAGTACTCCCTATGTTTTCTTCAGTTTGCTTCTTTTTAAAGTTACTTTAAAGTTACTTAAAGTTACTTTTTTCGTAACGTACGTGGTGCATTTGACAAGACAGGGCTGAAAACGGCTCGTGCATGTGTCAGTCACTGCCTCCGCTCCGGTTGGTTTTTTTTTCCTCTCTCTCTCTCCTCTTCCTCAGGATCCACTCCCTCTTTCCTATTCACTCTCTCTCTTTCTTTACATTTTTTAATCACAGTTGTCTATTTTTTGCTCATTTAAAATATATTTTAATCATTTTCTAAGTTCTTTTTTCTATTTTACATGTTTTGTTTTTGTGAAGCGCCTCGTGATTTTTATCTTGAGAGGTGCTATAGAAAAGATCTTTTCTTCTCTCTCTCACTCTTAATTCGTGCACTTAAATATTAATGTTCTGATTTTATTGAAACACTTGTTCTGTAATAGTTCCTTTACTATTGTGATCAAAAACATTTAATCTCAATTATGAGGCTGTTCTGTAAATAGTTTTCAAATAAACAATACACATAGCAACTTCTGATCAGACTTAAAATAACGTATTGATGTAAACCACACCCACTTCTGGGTTAGGCCACGCCCACGCCGAGTACAGATACAGATACAGATACAGATAGTGGTGTACTCGCTCATCCCTAATCGGTATGCTTCCTGTGCACAGATTATTAAGGACGCTTGTTTCAGCTGTGACATTAGACGATAGGGTCAATGATTTTAAAAAAAAGTTTGTCATGGACTCCATGGAAACTTTCAGAGAATCCACAAATAGTATCTTTTAAACGGTTTTGTTACAGTCAGATTTTTGTGAGTTTAGAAAAGAAGCAGATGAGATGGCGTGTCCGACAATTTTGTTTTTCGTCTGACAATATTAGAACATGTCAGTGATGTCTGAGGTGTTTTTATAAAAACTGTATAATTAATACTCCTGGACAGGGTAGGAATTACACAGAGGCTTCTTGGAACCCAGTGATGGGGGGTGTTCCATTTTGCCTTGGCCCCCAAAATGCCTTGAAACGGCCCTGGGTGTGTGACTGAGTTTTGAAGGTGATCTGATTCAGATCATCTGAATTGTATCAAATGTATAAATATGACATGTGTATAACTCATTGTTTTATAAAATGTGTAGTGGAGATAAATCTACCTACATTTTACTTTTCAACACTTTGTTTTGTTTTCTTGTTTTTATTTAACTATTTTCCTGTCCACTGTCTCTCATCTTCCTGCATCTCCTCTAAACTCTCCAGAAAAACTGCTGCCTGGCTTCTTACCTTTTCAGCTCATCAGTTACTTTTGAACTAAGCAGATCAAAGGATCCTGACCGCAAAGTGGAGTGCGAGTTTCGATGCTGAGTCAGTGAGGTGAAATCACCGCAGCACGCGATGAGCAGAGCGCGTCAGGAACGATTAAAAGACAAAGTACCAGAGGATTTTAACCTTGAGAATGTGTTGTGCGCCGGACGCCGCGGGTGCGCCAACGATCAGCGCTCTGCGTCCTCTCCGCTTAACAGAATCCCCGCTACGCTGTGGGTCCATAAATATTGTAATATAGGTAGAGATTGGATCTTTCCCTGAAATATATCTAGCCCCCATAACTCGATCCCTGCTCCTGGATGAAAAACCGGACATGTCCAGGGGAAAGAGTGACGCTTAACCTGGTGGGTGGAGGAAAACCTGGCGGGCCGCCAGGCTAATGAGCACTGGGGGAAACCCTGCCAAAATCGTCAACACTCATCTATCTTAATGCTATTGAAACATGTAAACCAAAAAGCATTATATCCACTGTTACCTTTCTAATTTGAACTCAGTAACGTATGCAGTAACTTCACCTTGCCCTGCCTCCTCCTCCTTGCTGTCTGCCGGCTGTGATCACAAGCAACAACAGAGTAGATCCCACTGCTTCTTCGGGAAACAGCGCAAAAAAAAAAAACTTGGGATCTTGTAGGCGTGGCGCTGGGATTTCAGCCATGGTGGGCCGCCACGGCAACGCCTGTGCAAGGGAAACACTGCCGATGTAGGTTGAACTAATCACTTAAATCCCTTTCCATTCCAAATCTGCTCATGCCATTTCCTACTGACTTACAACCAATCAGCATAAGTTATTATAATTAGGGCTGAACAACTTAAAGAAAATATTTAATTGCAATTTTCTAGAAAAAATTGCGATTTCAGTTTGATTCAATATTTTCTTCAAAACGTTATTCACAATATAGTCATATAAATCACACCATAAAACATTACAAGCTATTAATTTCAATTATTTTCTTTTCTATGTGCTTGTGAAGCAACCTGTGACTTTCATCTAGAGAGGTACTTCATAAAATACATGTTTTTCTTGTTCTACTCTAATAACGCAAGGAGGAAAACTGAAGGAAAAACTGCTTTCTAGTTTATTGATTAACAAAAAAAAAAGCAGTAACACTTAACAATAAGGGTCTCTTTTTAAACGTTAGTGCATTAATAAGCATTAATAAACACCATGCAACCTGAAGATCTGGTAAAATTATGCGAAAGCTACATTTGTAGAAATTGATGATCAGTTAGTTATCATCAGCATATAATTGCACGTTTACATCGTGACTTATAGGTCTGCTTTAAACAAACGCTTCCAAGCATAATCTGCTTTATTTGGGTTAGTGTGAAAGCTCATCTGAACTTCGGCGCAAACCAAACAAGCTAATTCTGATCCACCTGGACACAAGGATCTCAGTTTGCTAGCAAATAAACCCTGGTGTGCTCACAGTAAGATGGTTTTTTCATCCCTGCACACGTATGTGTAAATCAAAATGCAGTTTTTTTCCTTCCTTGGTGTGGTTCGTTTATGCAGGTGAGAAGGTAGCGATCCCTAGGGTGTGGTTCCAAGCAAACCTCAGTGAGGTTTGTTTACAGTGTGAACAAGAGGTGTAAACTGCATTTGTCATTTCCCACTAACAACTCATAAAAACACAGAAGAGTTCAATTTAGTTCAAATTAACTGCAAAGAGAGACAGAGTTTTCCCACATTATTAACTACAGTATACCAAGCTCAAACCGCGCCACCTTCTTTGATGGTTTGACTTCTTGTAGTCCCACCTCCAGAAATGTCTGTCCAATAAACACACAGGCTTGCTTGTGGTTTGTCCTGCGTGAAACGAAACTGAACCAACAAACTCTTCAACTGATTCAGACCACGTTAAACAAGCACTGGAATGCAAATGGACAATTCAGAGAACCAAAGACATGAACTGATCCAGAGCACTCTGCATTTTAAGAATAAACAAAACTACACGCAGTAGAAAGCAGGTGCAAGCCGCTGTAACGGTACAGACAGATTTGACTACTTTTAAAAATGCATCATGAAAGGAAAACAAAGCAATAAACAAAAAGTAGATTTTTTAAGCATTCCCACCAAATTGAACCAAGGGGCAACATATCTAGAGCCTGTTTCATAAGAAACCGTGGCAACAAATCAGAGTAAAGCCCGATTTTGAGAAATCAAGCAGTCACACAAAAAGTGTCGCTGAGCGCTTCTTGGAAAGTTGTGCGATAGTCACAACATTACGCGGGACTTCAGAACAGGAAGCAGGAAGAGAATCTATTGTTGGAGAGGGTGCGGCGTGGTGTGGCGCGTCTGTCTTCAGTGTGCCCCAGGCTTAAGTTTGCTCTGGCGTTCGAGCCATCAAGCTTGAATGAGGATCACAACTTTGAGCATCAGAGTGTGATGTTATTATCACATGGTGAACATGAGCTAAGCATCAGCCGGTAACAGTACTGAAAATCAAAGTAAACACAGTCAGTTTCCCTTTTGTAAACAGAATCAGCTGAGGTGGCAAACTGAAGTGATGTAGAGATGCAGGACCGCTAGAGCTGAAGCACAGATCATCAGGTTATTCACGGGGACTGTGAAGGACAGCCTTCTTTTGGAGCGGCTTGTGTAACTTAAGGAGCATTGCTTCAATCGAAAAAAACAAATTACATCCAGGCTAGAAATATATCCTGAACAGCGCAGAGATGGCCCCCACACCCCTTTATACCGCCATTGTTTAATCCACCCAAACATTTTGTTAATTTATCTGGGGTTGCAGGGGAAGTAGCTGAGGCATAGAGGCCCAGACTTCCCTCTCTCCAGCTTCTCCGCGGGAATCCCAAGATGTTCCTGGACCAGCTGAGAAACATAGTGTGTCCTGGGTCTTCCTTTGGGTCTCCTCCCAGTCAGACATGCCCAGAAAACCTTACCAGGAGGCATCCTGACCAGATGCCCGAGCCACCTTAACTTGCTCCTCTTGATGTGGAAGAGCAGCGGATCTACTACAAGCCTCTCCTGGATGACTGAGCTTCTCACCCTATCTCGAAGGGAGAGCCCAGCCACCCTGTGGAGAAAACTTATTTCAGACACTTTTTTCCGTGATCTTGTTATTTCAGTCACTACCCAAAGCTTGTGACCATAGATGAGCGTAGGAACGTAGATTGACTGGTAAATCGAGAGCGTCGCTTCCGGCACAGCTCTCTCTTCACCACGACAGACTGGTGCCATGCCCGCATCACTGTAGATGCAGCACCAATCCACCTATCGATCTCCTTCACTCATAATCAGATACTTGACTTAACTTCACTCCTCCACTAACCGTGTAATCTATTGTGAAAAACAAGATTGTGCCACATTACCACCACATTCTGACCACGTATGAACGATCTAAGGCTCCCTGATACGTCTCAGCTTTGCAGTAAGATGCCGCCACTGATTTATGAAAGACGCTTAGCAGTAGGCCAAACACTTCTTCAACTTTTTGGTCAAACTGCATTAAGTTAAAACAAAACTAAACAAAAAACAATTGTGTGAATTGTGATCTGTATGATAGGTTTACTCACTCTGGTTCCATTGGTTCCAAATGGACCAACAGTTCCCAAATCTCCTTTCAGAGCCTGAGGAAAAAAATACAATACTTTGAATGTTATGTTTTAATGGTTTTCAAAAATGTGTTTTGTAAGTCAGTAAGTTGGCATGCAGAAAACAGTCACATGCAGGTAAAGATTTTCAACCAGTCAGTCACAAAAAAGAACAAAACAAAAACAGCCAACGTCAATCACACAACATTGCACGTCAGAATTTTCTGCTGTGAGATTCACAATCAGCTGGTTACCCTGTGTCTACCCCTGAGCCTTCCCCCTGTTTTCACTCTCTGCTCTTTGGTTTAGCAAGGACACCGCTTGTCATTGCTTTTTGAATTTGAAGCGGAGAACCTCGGGGTGGGATAGAACTACTCAGGGCTCAGGGAGAAGTCAAGCCTCTCGGTGGTGAAACGTGAAAGGAGAAGGACGGCTCAGATGAAGGGTTATAGCTGATGAATGAGGCCTGACACATATTGACAGGCTAAATTTGCTGCGAGCCTTGTTAGGTGTGACACATTTGGGCCAGTGGCTGCAACACTTTAGAATATGTTAGGGAGGGAAAAGGAAAGATGAAGCATGTGTGCTGCCTGTAAAATGACTCAGAAATCCAATAATTTGTCATGGTTAAATTTAGAGTCAGATAGGCTATTAATAGTGAATTATATATCTGCTGAGGATGATTACCTACTCTTATCACATTAAGTCCTGCTACCAGAGACGTGACTAATTCATTGTCTAGTCCCTGCAAGTCTCGTCTTAAACATTTAGGAAACAGAAGCCTTGATAATACTGGTGTGAAATGACTGCCAGGATGGTAATGGTAGCTATAAAATAACACAATTTTCTTCAGGTTGCACGAGCAGTGCAAAGACTATTGAATGGTTTTATCAGATTATATAAATTAATGTGGTCTTTCAGTCTACTGACACAGCCAGGAACAAAGCAGACAGACTCTTTTTCTTTTTTAAATTGAATCAGTAGTTGGAGGAAAATGTAGCACAAAGGGATCCAGGAAGAAATTTCCCTCTTGGGAATTAGGAAATAGAGGCTGTGGAAGTTGGTGATAAAAAGTAGCAAACAGCTTGAAAAAACATGTTTTATTAAATAACTTGTGTTTTTCTTATTTACCCATACACTTATAAAGGTGCTTTTAAATCTATTATTGAGTCTTGCAGCACTTTTGTCGTTATAATAATCACACTTGAGTGTGAAATCTATGAAAGGACTTTAGACACATGTAGAAACTGAGTAAGGCTGAAAGACAACAAGTGTTTATAATCTTTTTATAATCCGTGGTAGACTTGCACAACATATTTCTGAAAGTTAGTGTCAAGTTTTGAAATACTTTGATTAGTTTTTAGGGTTCCAAGCCCAAAGGGCATTGGAACCCTATTGTTTTTCTACGGATTTTTCATTATTCTTCTTCTCCGCTAATACTGTATGGGGGCAAGAGCCTGAAATTGCCAGGAAAAATCTGATATGGCAGTCTGATAGAAAATCCTGACCGCTACTCAGGTTCGAAAATATGGACACCGAGTCACCTAGGTGGCGCTATTGCGGAGGTGAATACGTTTGAGCTACTATCTCCCAAACCATAGGCCCGACAGTCAAAAAACTTTATATGGACATGATCCTTGGATGATTCTGCATCTTTTTTGTATTGGCCACGCCCATTTCCGCCTAACTAGATTTTTTGCTAGATCTCAAAAAACGCAAAACTTAGTTTTAATCACCTATTCGTCATTTTTCGTCAAATCAACTTCAACCTTTGAACATATGATCTATGGAGGAAGAGAAATTGTTGTGATGAAGAAAAACGCGGAATTATTGAAAATTGGGTTAATGACACCATGTCAAATTCAGTGCGCTAGCTAGCACATGTCCTAATTGATTATATCTTCAACAATTTTCAAGATAAAATGATGAGACTCTAGACCCTTACAAAGTATGAGTGGTAAACCCTATCTACGCAATTTTGTTTGGATTCACCAATAGGGGGCGCTAAAGATTCAAAAAGTTTGTTTCAGCAAAACGGCTTGATGGATTTCCACAAAACTTGGCAGATATGTTTATCATTGGACCCTTACACTATATTTCGAAAATGATTTAAAAGTGGGCCTGGCTTATAGGCTATAAATAGGCTTTAAAAGTTTTCGCCCTTTTACTCATGAAAAATATAGATTCTGTACAGAAAGTTACAAATCAAATCAGTCATAGTGACATCTACAATCACAGAAAAAACTTTGAATTTTGTCCAATAGATGGCGCTGTTGTACCCCAAAATGTTTATGGCATGTTTCTCCCCATTACATTCGTAAAAAAACAAATGGTCTCATCCAGTATGTTCATTGATTCAGTCATATTTAGATGAGTATTTTAAAAAAATAATTTAAACTTATGCTAATTAGTAGTAATTTGCATAGTAAGTCAAACGTACTTTCATTAACTCCTCCCGGCCGTCCAACACAATCACATCACTTCTTTCCCTGACAAGAGAGGAGGAGCAGCTGACCAAATGATGTGAAGGGATTTTGGATAATTTGCTTATTTGTTTTTATATGATTTTTTTAAATAATTTTTGGGGAATGAAACTGTTTTTTTTAGCATAACTTCAAAAGATTTTGACATTTTTCAAAGCTATTCTTAACCACCATACCTAAGGTCAATTCAAGTGGATATCTGGATTTTCAGCTTGATTCAACAATAGGGGGCGCTATAAATAGGAAGAAATTATACTGCTGAACTGGCTAAATGGATCTGCACGAAACTTAGTGGTTGTCATTATTATAGAGTCGTAAGAGTACAATATCAATATGGTATTGATTGATCAAAGTGGGCTTGGTTTATGATCATTTAAAATTTCAAATTTGAAAAATTTCCTAAAAATCATTATTTGCATGTAAGAGGCTAAGATTTTCAGGTTGTGTTAACTGGGTAGGCTGGAGCTTATGTCACGTTCTGGTCAAAGTTGGGATCGATCCTTCAACCTTTTAGAGCCATTCCCATCTGAACCTGGTCGACCCTGCCCGGATAGCTCCAGATGGCCCCAGTTTGGCCCGGTTGATTCCACACATCCTTGCTTAGGTATGCAAGGAATGCAGTCAGAGACATTTTTAGGTTCTAGGTAATCAGCATGATAATGAATGAGAATGAATTGAGCATGCCATAAGCCCATGTGGGTTGATCCTACCCACCAATCAGAGGCTTACTCTAGTGGAAGGTGTGAATATGCTGTCAGCAGGGGGAGTGTTGGTCCTGGTCAGCTTGAAGCAGACCACCTCAGAAAGAGGGCTGAAAAACAGTCTCGTTGCACCCTAAAAATAGGACGGGACGCCGGCAGGAGAACGTGTCTTTGGGGCGGGGCTGCATGACGAGTGGGGAAGTTGAGGGCGGGGGCGGGTGGGCGACTGGCGCTGGTGGCTTGGAACCCGTTGATAACTGCTTGCAGTTCTAGTTGGAATTTGGATTTGGATTTAGGATTAGACAATTTGGTAATTTGACATCGGACCGGCTTTAGACTTTGACCTCGGATCTCCCCTTTTGTAATTATAAATTTATTATTCTCGGTTTTCTTCCCACCCCCTTCTGGGGTGGCGCTTTTCGTTTCTCCTTTTTTTGTATATAGTATTGGCTTTTGGGTTCTTTGTAAATATTTCACTTGTTTCTTGTAATAAATCCTTGTTTTTTAAGTGACACTGCACTTTGTTATTGTTGAATCCACACACCACTTTTATTACTCCCCTCCTCATCTCTCCTAGAGAGCCGGGGACGTAATAACATGGGGGCTCGTCCGGGATTTTTTATTATTTACCATCTTTCCCGACTCATTTTTAGGTGTGTGTAACAATATTAACGTTGTGTTTGTGTCACTTAGAGGCGGAGCATGGCAACCTTTGACCTGCACGCATTTGTGGCGGCTCCTTCGCGCCGGCTTCTGGAGAGTTGCCGCAAAGCCGATCTGCAGCAGGTTGCCGCCCATTTCAGTCTTCCCCTTCCGAAGCAGCTCACCAAGGCTGCTCTTCGAAAATTGTTGGTGGATTATCTGGAAACACAGGTGCTCCTCCCTCCGCCATCTACTCCTGATGTGTCTCCACCGCCCTCGGATGAGGAAGAGGGCCGGCTCATCCAGAAGAGGGAGACCCTCGTGTCAGCTCAGCCCTCCTCAGCTGACCGATCGCCTCCAGCTTCTGTCTCATCCGGAGCTAGTCCTGCTAGCTCACGGCTCACTGGAGCGCAGCTAAAACTATGCCTGGCTCGTTTGAAAATCGAAGCTGAGGAAAAGACGCTGGAACGGACCCTTCGACATGAAATTCAATTAAAACGTATGGACACCGAGGTTCGCCTCCGGGAGCTCGAGCTACAATTGGCCACTGTGAAAGATACTTCCTCTGTGAGCTACCCCCTCACCGCTGATCACCCAGTGGCCTCGCCTCCGTCTCAGCCTGGACTGTCCCGAGACGCCATGTCTCATATGGCTGCCACATCGTTGCCGCCTGCCTTCGGCGTCTCCAAGTGTGTTGCCCTGCTGCCGTCCTTCCGGGAGACTGATGTGGATGGGTATTTCTCTGTTTTCGAGAGGATTGTGGTGACCCTCCAGTGGCCTCGTGAGGTATGGTCGCTACTTTTGCAATGCAGGCTCACAGGTAAGGCCCTTCAGGTTATTTCGGCTCTGTCAGTAACGGACAGTTCTGATTATGAGTATGTAAAAACTGCCGTGTTCAACACGTATGAACTCGTTCTTGAGGCTTATCGTCAGCGTTTTCGATCCGAAAAACCTCCGTCTAACCAGACTTATGTGGAAAACGCTCATGAGAAAACCGTACTCTTTGAAAATTGGTGTTCGGCTTCAGAGGTAAACTCCTTAGCTGACCTCAAAGAGCTAATTATGGTGGAGGAGTTTAAAAGACACATGCCTGAGCGGCTCGTTATGTATTTGAATGAACAGAAGGTCTCCACTCTTTCTGGTGCAGCCCTGTTAGCGGATGAGTTTTCGCTAATGCATCGGGCTTGGGAGTCAAGAGCTGACCCCGGTC